CAAAAAAAAAAAAAAAAAAAAAAAAAAAAAAAGTATGATCAGTTCTTGGCGGGCATGGTGGCTCATGCCTGTAGTCCAGTACATTGGGAGACCGAGGTGGGGAGATCACGAGGTCAGAAGATTAAGACCATCGTGGATAACACGGTGAAACCCCGTCTCTACTAAAAATACAAAAACTTAGCTGGATATGGTGGTGCGAACCTGTAGTTCCAGCTACTTGGGAGGCTGAGGAAGGAGAATTGCTTGAATGCAGGAGGCAGAAGTCACAGTGAGCTGAGATAACGCCACTGCACTCCAGCCTGGGCAACAGAGCAAAACTCCATCTCAAAAAAACAAAAAAAAGGATGCTCAGTTCTCTAGGTGTTTAATTTCCAACTCAGGCCAGCCTGTCCACTATACAAATTCAGTATCGAAAAAAAATGAAGTAATCTTAAAATTTAAACCTGACACGGAAGAATTACTGTCTCCTATAACCAGGCACTTTATATACATCATTTTTTTTAATACTTCCAATAGTCTTTTGAGCCAGAGATTATCCTCATTTTTATATTAAAAAAATGTGCCTCATGTAGCTAAATAATACATACATAGTCAGAGAGCCAATGTGTGTCAAACACAGGATTTAAGCCTAGGTCTGTATGATTTCAAGGCCAGTTGTGGTGGCTCACACCTGTAATCCCAGCACTTTGGGAGGCCAAGGCAGGTGGATCACAAAGTCAGGAGTTCAAGACCAGCCTGACCAAAATGGTGAAACCCTGTTTCTACCAAAAATACAAAAATCAGCCAAGTGCAGTGGCACGTGCCTATAATCCCAGCTACTAAGGAGGCTGAGGCAGGAGATTTGCTTGAACCTGGGAGGCGGAGGCTGCAGTGAACTGAGATTGTGCCACTGTACTCCAGCCTGGGCCACAGAGCAAGACTCTATCTCAAAAAAACAAAAAACAAGACAAAACAAAACAAAAACCAGAAACAAACTTGAATTATTTAGTACACTAGTGATTTCAACTAGGCTTTGGAATTACTAGTCAGATTTCCAAAAGGAAATTTGGAAAGTATATATAAAGTTACTGATCAAAAAAAAATTTTTTTTGCCTGTTAGGATATTACTATCAATTCTTAGCATTTTAAAAAAGTATATATTTTAATATCAATGAAGAAAAGAAGTTAAGAGAGGGAGAAATGGGCTTGGTGTAGTAGTCCATTTCTGTAATCTCAACACTTTGGGAGGCCAAGGAGGGAGGATCACTTAGGCCCAGGATTTCAAGACCAGGCAGGGCAACATAGGGAGACTATTTTTTTTTTAATTAGCTGGGTGTGGTATCACACGCCTGAGGCTGAGGTGGGAAGACAGCTTGAGCCTGGGAGGTTGAGGCTGTAGCAAGCAGTGACTGCACCACTGCACTCAGGCTTGGGCAACAGAGTGAGTTCTGTCTTAAAATATACATATATATATATATATATATATATATATATATATATATATATATAT